ACTCTTTCCACATAGCAGTGCAGGTGTACCTCCTCTTGCATTGCTTTGGCTTTTAATAATGGACAGAAGAGTTTGGCAGTGATGGAGGGAGAGCAGATAGCTTTATGTTGTCTTAGCAACTTACTGTGTTAAAGCAAAGAGTAAATACTAGGGTTGTGAGAGCTACTTGGCTGTTGAAGAGCTGTTTATTTTGCCTCATCATATCTCTTGAAACCAAACCCTTATGCTGCAGCTTGAAACCAGTGATGTGGTCCCTTGCAGTTTTTGGGAGGCAGGCCTTGCTTTTTCTGCATCTCTGCTCTGCCAGCTTATCAACCCTCAGCCCTCTCAACCTCTTTTCTACTTCAGCAGAAGATTATCTGCTTCTGCTGTGTTTTTGATTGAGTTAGCTGATAGGTTCAAAGTGTATAATGGTTAAGATGCAGCAGAAAGAAGGAGGAGGAAAGGGTAATGGGATGGCAATGTGAAGTTTTAGGTCAGCTGAACTCCTGTTTCATGGAACTGCAGCTTGCATTCTTACCTCTTAGCGTTGGATATTTATTTGACCTAAGTCTTCAATTGTGAGTAATTTCTGTGTTCTTCAGTATTTTATTTATGAGAGACATCAAGGACTTGTTTCAAAGGTCCCTCAAAATGAATCTGTCTCTAATTTAGAAGGCAGACAAAACAGGCCCAGAACTGTTTGTCAGTTATGAAAATGTAGGCTTTAATTTTTATGTTATTAACATAAATCCTGGTTGTTTATGCTATCCTCCAGCTGTGGTAGGGGAGTTGTTTTGTAAAAAATGGTTAGCATGAAAATGTACCTTTTTTTTTTCCCTCTTGTTTCTAGGCTGAAGAGCTTGCAGAGCAGCCAGAAGATCCACTACCACCGCCTCCCCCTCCACCGCCGCCACCACCACCGCCACCACCACCTCCACCAGCAGCTCCAGCCCTCCCGCCATCTCCATCGACTCCTTCTTTTCATTTATCTCAAATAGATGCCAGGTTTGTAGATCCAAGTATTGGATTATTGATGCCTCCTCTCCAAACCCCCAGCAATCTTGCCGTTTTTTGTGATCACAACTATACCGTAGAGGATACAGTTCATCAGCGGAAAAGGATTCAGCAGCTGGAGGAACAAGTTGAAAAACTGCGGAAGAAGCTCAAGACAGCGCAACAGCGATGCCGGCGTCAGGAAAGACAGATTGAAAAACTGAGAGAGATCGTTCAGTTTCAGAAAGAAAAAGACATATTGGCAGGAAAAGGATACGTGGTTCTACCAAATGACTATTTTGAAGTTGTGGAAGTACCTGCCTAGAAGTCATTAACATCAGCTTTCATTTTGCTAGGCCAAGAAATTTAGTTTAAAAACTAAATGCTGTCTAATTCTGCGTGTAAGACTCTCCAGAATTCTAAATCAGTGAATTAACAGTTGTACAAACGAGATCTTTTTTCTTAATCGTCGTTTCTGTTTAATACACTTTTAATGTATTGAAAATGCAAACATCTCACAATTAGAATATGCATTTAGTTTACAAAACCTGGATTGCTTTACAGAAGGAAACGGTGCAAGGTTGAATACATTTAAAATCTGTTCTTGCTTTGTTTTGTTGTTTTGGTTTTTTTTACAGTGGCTTTCTTGCACTTACAGGGGATAGGGAACTGATTATGGCTGGGAGCAAAGTTGATGTTGTTGTAAACTTGGTCCAAAGCTTTTTCAAGGCAGTTAATGTTGACTTTGGTGATCCCCAGAAGTAATTTCCACTGATTTCAGAAAGAGTAGAATTAAGCCACTCAAGAACACCTGGAAGTGCTGCAGAAAAACAGAGAGATCAGATATGTATTTCAGCCTGGGAAAACTTCAAGTCTCAGTTTGCTATGCCTTCAAAGCACTGCAAAAAGTCTAATTCCTGGAGCCCTTCGGTGAGGTATGTAAATGAACCTCTTCTTTTGGAGTAAAGTTTCACCATGTGTTTGTTGTGAGGGAGATGAGGAGAATTCATTAGCGTAGCTGATGAGAGCTGTAGAAGAGGCTTTTGTTCTGAGAGTGTGTAAAAATACTCCTGGGCGTATATGTTGTGGACTGTTGGCAGGATCAAAAAAGCAGTGTACTCTTTAGGGTGGCTTCTTTTCAAAAGTGCTCTGATGGTATGCAGTCCCCAACATGTTGGAGTGTGATGTTTCCATGAATGCTGTAACAGGTAGAATGTTCTCATCTTTGAAATTGCTGGTCTGAACTCACATCTCAACTATGTGTAGTTTCAGGAAATGAAGATGTTATTTTTACTTATCCAGGGTGTCAGGCATTTGTGACTTTGATTGCAGTATAGTGTGTCACCTCCCCTCCTCTACGCTCCTGCTCTTTCCTCCCCTCCCTCTCTTCCCTTCTCTCCTCTCTCTTTTTTTTTTGTGTTTTTCATTTTGGTTTGTTTGTTTATGGTATTAGACTTTGGGAATTGCTTGGTGCTAGACTGGTTTTTAATATCTCAAGTGCTGCATCTCGTTCAGCATTTACTGTAAGTTTGCACTACTGTCTAGTAATTTGTTTAGTCAACAAACTCTTTCAAAGTTCGAGAAAATGGCTTCATGCTAACCCCATTGTAGCCTTCACAGCTGAAATTCCTAGGTGTGTTAGACATGAGGGAAATTACATTTCTAAGTCAATGTCTAACATGTGTGTACTATGGATTCTAGCTCTGATATTAATCAAGACCTCTTCATGATGGCTTTAGAAGCTTCCCTTAATATCTTGTGAGCATGACATTTTGAAATGTTTTGAACCAGTCTTGACACTTCTGACTCACTCTTGCCATGTATCTACTTT